CCTCCAAGTCTATTCTCCTATCTGTTGTCAACAAGAACCCTACTCCCAGTTCACTCTCAAGCCTGATATCACATTAACCCCCTCCCCCAGTCTTCTCCTGTATGATAGTTTATCAACAAGAACGTCTCTCCCAGTTCACTCTCCCACCTGATATCAACATTAAGCGCCCCCTCCCCCAGTTCACTATCCTACCTGATATCAACATTACCCCCACCCCTCACCCAAAAGTTTACTCTCCTACCTGATATCCACATGAGCACCTCTCCCAGTTCACTCTCCTACCTGATATCAACATTTAGCCGCTCTCCCAGTTCACTCTCCTTCCTGATATTAACATAAACCCCCTCCCCAAGTTTACTCTCCTTCCTGATATCAACATTAAGCCCCCCTCCCCCAGCTCACTCTCCTACCTGATATATACATTTAGCCCCTCCCCCAGTTCACTCTCCTTTCTGATAAGAACATGAATCCCCTCCCCCAATTCACTCTCCTACTTGATATCCACATAAAGCCCCTCTCCCCCAGTTCAGTCTCCTACCTAATATCAACAAGAGTCCCTCCCCCGGTTCACTCTCCTACCTGATATCAATATGAGTCCCTCCCCAAGTTCACTCTCCTATCTGATATCGATATTTAGCCCCTCCCCCAGTTCACTCTCCTTCCTGATATCATTATTACCCCCCCCCCCCCCCAAGTTAACGCTCCTACCCGATACCAACATGAACCCACCCCCAGTTCCCTCTCCTACCTAATATCAACATAAAGCCCCTCTCCCCCAGTTCAGTCTCCTTCCTAATATCAACAAGAGTCCCTCCCCCGGTTCACTCTCCTACCTGATATCAACATGAGTCCCTCCCCCAGTTCACTCTCCTACCTGATATCAACATGAGTCCCTCCCCCAGTTCACTCTCCTTCCTGATATCAACATGAGAATGAGACAAAAGTGTAAAGGTAATGATGTCTTTGTCATTTCGTCTGTGAGTATAACACATTCCTTACCCGATACACAAGATGTACATAGGGTATATAACGGTTCATCTCGGGACATCATCACACAAGAAGAGCTAGAGTATTTATATTGTAAAATATTACATTAGTGGATTTTTATAACACTTTTGTCTGTTACAATTCGACAAAAAAGACCACCACTTAAAGGATGCAATAGTTTTCTTTCACATTAGACATTTTGTGAATTTCATCCATTCCCGAATTAAGAAACCCACAACAGAGAACACAGGAGGAGCACACAAACCCTGTAGACCACCCCGACTTATTCACAATACATGGTGTTCAGTACTATAAATAGTGTCTTGTATTAATAAGACACATCGAAACTGTCTACTATTGATAAGACAACGGCAGTATGACGTTAGTGTTTTTATAACATACCTGTTGAATCTTGTTATAGTATAACACAAGCAATTTTCAGACCATGAAATACAACGTTCTGTATTGCACATGTGCAATACGGAATGTTGAATTTACCTACTAGCCGGAACTACTTTTTATGGGAGTCCCCTTGTCATGGCGAACTGAAAAGTTTCGTGTATTTGCAAAAAATATCAAAGTGTATAAAACCTTTATATCGATCACTGCCAAATACAGAAGGTATGTGATAAAAGCAAGACCACACACTTGTGTTTTTCTAACGCATCAGAAAGCACTCATTTATTGCGCGGACGTATATATTAACTCGTGCGCTCCGCGCACTCGTGAATATATATTCGTCCACGCAATAAACATCGTGCTTTCTGATTCGTTAGAAAAACACAAGTGTGTGGTCTTGCATATAGACACATCCATAAACAAGACACCTGTCAAGGATACAAGCTTTTTAAGACGTTGATTAAAATACACTGAAAATCGGACTGATATGGTATTTTAGATGTGTTAATCAATCACTAATGTACAATGTATGTACAACGTTAAAACAATTCGGAATTTAGATGGCATAATTGTTTCCACAATTATAATTCGGACAACTCCTGGCCGCTACATGTATGTGTCTAGGAAGTTAATGCTGTTATCACGTGTTAAATGTTGTAAACAGATTATGTCAGTAAACAACAGTGTCTTATCCCTCGTAGAATTGGGCGTCGCAGCAGCGAGAACGATGAAAATAATTGATTTCAATCATAGTCAACTGCTAACCTGAACAAACCCGGAAGTCAGTCCTTAATTAATGACAGGAACCTATTTCTGACCTCATAATCATTATGCTAGTCGTCAAAAAGGTAACGTTGGATAACACATTATTTTCCTTGGCGTTTGCCATTCTATTTATTGAACAAGCATTCAGGATTTTCATTTTAAATTTTTATTAATGCTGAGTTGTGATACAAAAAATGAATTTCCTATTTTCTAAAATTGATATGGATGCGAAAAATGGTCAATTTCATTATCAAATTTTCATTAATCAACCAAAGACAGTAGCACGCAAATTTAATTGACAACTTGCTTATTTAACTGGAAGCGTCAGTATGGAATGTACCTCCCTGTCTGTCGGAAAGATATTGTCCGTGCATCCTCATTGTTTAAAATGTGTTTCCTAAAACCTAAGCGGCAACCAATTTCTAGTAGCAAAACAGCATACATCGAGAGTGTTTATGAAACAAAAGCATTATCTTCAGGTTGAATGGTACTTATGATACATATATGAACCCCGCTTCTTATTGAGAGCTCTAATGCTTTTCTGCATCTACATTGTAATTAAAAAAACACTTGATTAAGAACTTTTGCACTTCTCCGTGTGTCTATAGAGTTTGAGGGATCGTTTGATAGCGAATCTGAAACTTCTCTGTAAGTACATGTGTTTTGATTGAGGGATTCGTGTATTCATTTTTTTCCTATTTGTCTGTACGCCGTTATAACTTCTCATTTCCATTACTATAGTATCACTACATGTACATGACTAACTACTTTAAGACAAGAGAAGACGACGAGAAAGACGTTTAGCCTCTAGAAATATAAAAAAAAATCGAACGTTTGAGAGACAGACAACAACAAAATCACGTGGAGAAATACGGAAGAAAAAGAAATCGTAAAGATGAACACGTAAAGGCAGAAAGAAATATATACAAACATAGACAGACAGGACACATAGAGACAGGGACATAGACAGTCAGGACAGACAAGGACATAGACGGACAGGACACATAGATAGAACCATAGACAGACAGGACACATAGAGACAGGGACAACAACAGACAGGACAAAGACAGGGACATAGAAACATGGACAAAGACAGACAGGACAGACATAGAGACAGGGACAACAACAGACAGGACAGAGACAGGGACATAGAAACATGGACAAAGACAGACAGGACAAAGACAGTGACATATAAACATGGACATAGACAGACAGGACAGACATAGAGACAGGGACAAAGACGGTCTTGACATGCAGACAGACAGGACACACTGACAGGAACGTAAACAGATAGGACACTTAGACAGAAAAGATATACAGAGACAGTAACATAGACGGACAGGATACACAGAGATAGAAGATAGACAGACAGGAGACACAGACAGGGATGTAGACTGACAGGACACATAGACAAGGACATAGACAGACAGGACACATAGACAGGGACATAGACTGACAGAACACATAGACAAGGACATAGACAGACAGGACACATAGACAGGGACATAGACTGACAGAACACATAGACAAGGACACACAGACAGGAACGTAGCCAGACAGGACACATAGAGACAGGGACATAGATAGACAGGACAGACAGAGACATAGACGGGCAGGACATATAGACAAGGACATAGACAGACAGGACAGACACAGGGACATAGAGACAGGGACATAGACAGACAAGACACATAGACAGGGACGTAGACAGTCACGACAGATATACAGGACACACAGACAGAGACACAGACATACAGGAAAGAGACAGGGACATGTAAACAGGGACAAAGACGGACAGGACACACAGACAGGGACATAGACAGGTCACATAGAGACAGGGACAAAGACGGACAGGACATGCAGACAGACAGGACAAACGGACAGGGACGTAAACAGATAAGACACTTAGACAGATAGAATATACAGAGACAGAAACATAGACGGACAGGACACACAGATAGAAGATAGACAGACAGGACATACAGACAGGGATGTAGACTGACAGGACACATAGACAGACAGGTCACATATATGCAGGGACATAAACGGACAGGACACGCAGACAGACAGGACACAATGACAGGGACGTAATCAGATAGGTCACTTAGACAGAAAGGATATACAGAGACAGTGACATAGACGGACAGGATACACAGAGATAGTAAATAGACAGACAGGACATACAGACAGGGATGTAGACTGACAGAACACATAGACAGGGACATAGACAGACAAGAAACATTTACAGAGACGTAGACAGTCACGACAGACAGTCAGGACACACAGACAGGGACGTAAACAGACAGGACACATAGAGACAGGGACATAGACAGACAGGACAGACAGAGACATAGACGGACAGGACATGCAGACAGACAGGACACACAAACAGTGACAAAGACGGACATGACACATAGAAACAGGGACATAGACAGACAAGAATCATAGGCAGGGACGCAGAGAGACAGGACACACAAACAGGGACGTAGACAGACAGGACACATAGACACAGGGACATAGACAAACAGGACACACACAAAGGGACATAGACGGACAGGGACATATATAGGACGTATGAAGATAGGGACACAGAGACAAGAATATGGACAGACAGGACCAGAGACATAGAGCACGTACTTACCCCGATTGGTGTAAAGTTAGTAAATAAAGCACTAGTATTATCCACAAAATTGACGATGTCCTGTGTCCACCGCCCAGCCACATGTTCCATATGTTTATCCCAGGGAACAAGCCGGCCAACCACCGGAACATAAGGACTCCCTACTCGGCACTATTGGACGGCCTTGGAAACTCTCGTCACTTTGAAAAGGATTCCGGATAGAAAATCCGTCCTTGTTTTTTGTATGCTAAGAGTTAACTCTAAGCCATCATTTCATCACGTAAAGATAACTTAATTGACAAGTTTGCTTCCACTTCATCATTTAGCGTTGAAATAGTAACCCTCGAATTGTGTGGTTCCATACTGCTAAAGACGCATCTTCTAGACAATTTATAGTTAACATCCTTCAATAAAAATCTCAGAGTTGTCTCTCCCGTCACATTATCGATAGAGGGCGCAGTTGATGCCACATAGTTTCCAATATAATTTAATTCTTCGTATCAGATTTATAGCCGAATTGTACGGCTAAAGTTTTTGATGTATAGCATTAACTCTCTTACGTTTGCTGAGCCAGACACACCAGGTAAAATTATACCATCGGCTAGCTATACAACCCTCACTTACTGCTAATTATCATATGGGCCGTAAACGATTTACAATTCTATATAACTTGTAACTTTTTTCAGGTCGCGGAACGCTACGCAAGTATGCAATGTGGTGAAATTCCCATTCTAATTCAGGTGCGTCAGGATCACAAACGAACTTTAAAACATTGAATGAAATCAAATTCCTTCCAAGCGCTTCCGTGACTACGCGAAGGGAGAAAAACGTGTGAGATGTAGTCCACGTTAAACTGGCTGTAAACTCCCCTCGCCTATTTCAGAAACTATGCTGACTATATAACAGTCTTTCATTGATTTGCTCGTCCAGTGTGACAAATGTATAATCTTCCCCTCCCTGTCCGCTGTCATTCTTTAACTTGTCAACATGTGGAGTTAAACATCTCTACTGGGCCAGATCTCCTGTACCTACATCCAAATGTATCGTAGAGTCATTATGACAAACCGTTCACCAGTCGTATATGGATACAGATGCACTCGGCAATTAAATGGTGTAGCTCCCTTTTTGTGTTTTACAAATCTACACAAGAGTCTGTCTCGGGCTACAATACAAATACGTCCGCCCACATAAATATAATCTCAAGTGCATGTACATGCATGGGATTACACACTACACGCCGCAAACAAGATTTATTTAGACTGGAAGTGTATTGAGATGTATCAATACCGAAAGGGAAAGATTAAATACCTCCCGTCACATAGGTGTTGTTATTTGCAAAATAAATATTTTTAAATGATAAAAAAATAAGAATACCCAATATTATTTTACAGTTAATAGTATGATTGTGTGAAGATGTGTGTTATGTTATGTGAATGTGTGTGATATTTGAATTGTGTGATATTTGAATGGATGTGTGATATTTGAAAGGAGTGTGTGATGTATGAGGGAGTGTGTGCGATTTTTTAATGTGGGTGTGAGATATTTGAGTGTATCTGATATTTGAGTGTTTGTGGTATATTTGAGTGTGTGATGTATGAGTAAGTCTATGATATTTGATTGTGTGAGTAATATTTAAATGTGTGATATTTTAGTAAGTGTATGAGTGGGAGTATAATATTTGAATGAATATTATGTTTAACGTCCTTTTAATATCTAAGGTCATTTAAGGACGTGCCTCCATGTGTGTTGTGTAAGTGTTTAAGCGTGTATGTATGCTCAGGGATGTGTAGTGGACTACTACACATCCCTGGTATGCATGAAACAGTATATGTTGGTGTATTTGCCTCCTTGTGATAGCGCGGATCTGATGCCGACTGTATAGTGCTATCTCACTGAAACACCATGCCGAAGGAACCAAGCACAGCATTCCGCCCGGTCACATTGTACTGACAACGGGTGAACCAGTTGTTGCCATTACCCTCAATTCTAAACGATAAGCAGGGAAAAACATCTACCATTTATAAAGGACTTTGGTATGTCCCGGGTTCGGGACAGAAACTACTGCCTTTCTTAACTGGGCGAACGCTAAGCATTAAAGCCAGAAGTGAGGTGTTGCCAAGCAAGGCGCTACGAAATAAAAGGTAGTTTAAAATAGAAAGAAAGTTAAATATCCCAAATGTTGCAATGGGTGCAGCTAATGTATTTGGTCGCATTTGTGTCCCTAATTAGAGGGCGCAAAAGCAAATACCAAATTATGCAGGGGCGCCCCCACATTAGTCGCCTCTTGCGATACACGCGGTTGGTAACAGCAGGTGTATTCTTTTCTCGATTCCCGACCTGCAGGGGTGGAACATGTGATACATGTATTTGATTGAATATGTGATAAGTTAACAAACTGGAGAGGGGTAGGAATGAGGGGTATCAGTGTGTTGGGTCAAAAATGGTGAGACGAATAAGTAAGCTGAAGCAGAACAAGAAGAGTACTGCCGAAGGAGTTAAGCGCTTTGCACAACAATCAATTTAAATTAAATGATACAAGACTTTCGTAAACAATTCAAAGCGTTATATCTATTTATGCACACTAGAAAATACTAGCTTATTTGTAAAGTTGAAATCATAAACCAACGAATCAATCTATTCAATATTACGTTATCTACAACACAGCAATGGCAGTTCACTTTAATGTTTTCCTAGATATGTTACCGTTTTAAGAACTGCATTCCATACGTGGATTTATCCAACTCTGGTGTCAAATGAGTAACAGATTGGTCAGTGAAATAACCTTAGAATGAGAAATAGAATGGTTATTCTTAACAGTGGTCGGTAAGATTAATTGCTGAGGAAGAAACAGATTTGTAAGCTTGTGCCCTACATCAAACGTAAGAACGTTAGGTGTTAGCGTATCTAATATGGTGACCATGTATATAAATTGTACGTATATCAGAGTATTTAGGAGACATAATATCGTGTAAATAAGACGTGTTTTTTATGAACCATTTAAGGTAATTGTATTAAGATTATTGATCCTTGTTTTAAGTGGCCTTCGTCATGCCTCTAAGTAAAGTTCTAAAATGCTCATCGCATCTACTCGAATATTTTCCATAATTCAGGTTTCGGCCTTTGACATGGTGCCCACATTCAAGTTTCAAGTTTTTCATAGACCAAAGGCAATACAGCAAATAGGTTAATGTCTCCGTATTGTAAAGTTAGAGAAATAAAAAATATACATTTTTGAAGAGATAAACGGCCAATATCAGTTTAACACCTCGTAACAGGTATAACCTTTATAAAGGTATCTAATCAGATTGTCTACAATCCACTCACCACTACTAGAGAAAAGTGCGCCAAAATATTTATGAGAAATACAGTCTTCTGCATGAGCTGTATTAAATACAAGTCACTTTTCGAATCATCGATGAAAGCTGTTAAGAAAGTTATAGAAGCACGTACTGGAGGGCCGACTATAATGTACATAGAGGTATCATTGACAAATATTTATAATAAATTGATGAGTTGAAATTATTTACGATGTAAACTTGAAAACAGGAAGGGACCTAATATAGATCCCTGGGTACTCCAGCTTTCACTCCATATCAACTCACCTGCTGCTTCAGACTTTCCAAAAACATGTAGCTGGCAAAAACCAAGATATCAATTTTCCAGTAATAACAAAGCTGGCTAGTTTCCTCAATAAAGTCCGATGCCATACTCTGTCGAACGTCTTACAATGTACTTATATCACATCAGAACATATTTCTTTACCTGAGTGAACGTAGGAGTTGATTTGCTGTACAGTTGCCAAACTTAAATCTGGTTTGAGGACAAAATAGAATGGTACAAATGTAATTGTTTAAATCCTTGTAGACACATCATTAAAAGACTTCTTATATACGTAACTGGGATAAAAACAGTAAGTGGATGGTAGTCACAGAGTGACCATATTACTATTTACTAGGGGAGAAACCTGACTTAAAATTAGTAAGAAGTCTGTATACATCTTCAACATGAATCGTTATTGATAAGCAAGAAGTGAACGTGATTATAAGTTCTTCTTCGAATTGAAAATTAGAAAAATCAACCTAAAATTCTAAGGAAATAACATTCAAAACGTGTGGTGAAAAGACCGAAGGTCCGAAGCTTAATATATAATTGGAAAACATAAAATAAATCGTTGTATCATTCCTGCAAACCAACTTAAAATCACTAATCACTTAAACGAATTTGTCAACAAAGCAAACAGAAAAATGGAAATCATCTAAATAACGTATAGCAAATTTAGATAAAAAAAAATCTAAAGCACTTCGAGACAAACAGCTGGGACACGCAGCTAGCACGTGGATGCAATACATACAAAACGGACAATAACAAAATTAAAAAGATACATAATGTCGGTCACAAACAATGAGGTTATCTATGTAAAAAAAACAATAAAGGGTTTCCAGAATATACATATTAACCATTTGTACCAAACAAGAACTCAACATTAGATTTCCACGAATCCTTAAAGTAACCTGTCGGAAAAACTGCGATTAAAGTGAAGACATAAAATTTCTGAAATATTTGAAGCATATTGGTATGATTTAAAAAAAAATCCCAATAACCTATATTAATGTCGGTATAAGTGTGCGAAGCCTTTTCCCGACTGCTACTTATCTCAGCGCGGGAACATGAAGCCATGTTTACTTTATTATCATGCATAAGCGAAGTCAAGAAATGTTACGAGAGCGGAATTCAACGTATGGCGATTGTGTGCAACTGGGTTAGAGATGATATTTACACAATACTACGTGTTCAACAATGTCAGAGGTAAAGTTTATAATACACGTGCTTTTATCTTGATTGATAAAGATCGATTACGTCATTTATGCTAAACAATTTATAGTTCCCTAAGAAGAAGTATTAGGAGCGTGCCTAAATTTTGCAAAAAATATCGTCATTTTAAAGTTACCATTGCGCTAGCATGACATTATGTAAATCATCGAATTCTTTACGGCATGAACAAATTCAAGTTAATTCCTTTTTGTTTCGTATATTGGACACGTTTCACACCCATTTTCAATCAAATAAACCATATAAATTGATTGATATATATATATATATATATTTAAAAAGAAATTTAATTATATCTGTAATCGGTTTGCATATCTTGTGAAATTTAATAACTACAAAAGAAATGGTATGTTTGCCCGCTTGGTTTAAGTTTTTCGCTAGCTGCTGGCTTCACACCGATGTTAAATGTGTCAAATATCTTGTCAACGAAGGTCAGATAGAGTTAATGATAAAAGTCATACGTCACAACTACTAACGCAATTTTGAAAAGTTCGGTTTAACACAGCACGTAACTTAACTGAACATGTGTAGTATTCCTGTTTATACTGCTGTATAGACCAAAACCTCAGATTTATTGGTCTCAAAAGGAAGTCTGCAGACAAGTTTACATGTATGCTGAATGTATGAAGAATACATTCACCGGGCAATCAAGCGTAACCTTGGCGAAATACCGTTTATAATCTGACGTCATCATAGGAGTTAGCGTGATATTTATTGCAAAACTGCGTAGGAAGGGAGATAACTTGTATAAATCAAGAAAGTTCTACCTTTCACAGAACTTTTTCTTCATAAAAATAAATATCTCTTTTTAAAACACAGTTGTGCTGTCATCCATTGTGGTTTTTTTTAGTATTATATCCAGTAAAGTGTTAAGGTATCATCCATGGCTGTACAATAAGTGACCTGTAGATGTCCAATCAGTTGACATGACCGTCTTATAAGTGACAAATTATTAGACTGCTGCATGTTATGGGACATATACTAATTGAAAACAGGAACAAAGCAATTAACAAGTACCAAAATAAAGGTTTATTGACAAAACACTTAAACACATAGGAACAAGTTACATGTAGTAAATATCCACAAAACACCAAATGTAGACCAACTCAATTCCATAACTTCACGAAAACAACGTAAAACTTGACTTTCCATTTCCAAAATAATCCAGTTAGAATATTTGTTTTTTGACATTTTTTCACTGATTATACATCACGTTTTATTTTACTTAATCACATTATTTCATAT